CAAAAAAACATTAATTTAATTTGCGTGGATGACATAATTCGAATTTGTCGGAAAAACATGTGAACATCGTCACTTATTCAGATGACATATCGCTAACAACATCAATTTTTCTGATCCCTATTTATGATGATTTAATTTTGCATATTGATCTGATGATTAGTGTGAAGATCTTTTCTCGTGCATGTCGATTTCTTGTGAATTATTTAATGTACACGAAGTTGCTGGACCAACGTGAGAACGTGATCGTTTCGTAATCGGACAGGTGTGACCGTATTGCACAACACAATGACACACGAATAAATGCAATTACACATACATATTGACGATAAATTTGATTCACTAATTATAGATATGTACTAAACACCGACAGAAAGAAAATTAAACACCGTTTAAAGACAAATGAATTTGATAAGTACGTGTTACTTAGCAGCAATTAAAATTTCTCAGAACATTATGGAAAGTCTAATATATATATTGTCCAATATACTGGACTAAGACCCTATTACATGGTCGATTTATAGCATGCATATCGAAGAGAAAATACAATAAAATTAAACAGATAGGTGAAAGGCGTATTTTCCTTACTGTGTATTCTTTTTAAAGATAAGATCGATTAGGATTTAGGGATAAACATTTTAACCAACTCAACCGATTAAACGGAGTCAAACCACACATATAATGACTTTGGTTAGAGTCTAGTGTAATTATGGTTTTAACTTTCAATAGAATAAACTAAAACCGAACCGGACACGGAAAGACCATTGCATTTCCAAATGGTGAAAACCATCATAAATTTCTAAATATAACTTCAAAAAGAACCTAGAACCAGAAATTTGGATATAAAATCAAACTGCATTCCAATGAAATTCTGAATTTAATTAAAGAGCATCCTTTTGGTAAAAAAATGTGGTGGTCTAGTGGTAACACAAGTTGGTTCTTTTTTATCCCGGATTTAAACTTTCTTTGAGACGAAGAGTTATTCTTTAAATCAGAATACCCAAATACTGTTTCCAAGTATCGAGAAAATTATAAGCCAAAAATTCATAATTTCCATGATTTATTAAAAAAAAAAACGTCTTCAACCCTACACTATTTGTCTAAGAACATTTTCAAGTCCAATCCATATTTCACTCCAAAAAAATATTTTCCAACCATGGAATAATTATATTCATTATTTCATTTTTTTGCATCATTCTATTTAATACTTCAAAATAGAGTAAAGTTAGAGTTAAATAGAACTCTATTCTTGAGTAAAAGATAGAGAAGTAATGGGTTAGAGATGCTTTTATTGAAATAGTTTTGGTTAGAGTTTTTTTTTTTTAGATAAACCATTGGAGTTTCGAACCATTGGCTCATAATGTATTCGGTATCCGAAGACAATTTTTGAATATTCCGATTTAAAAAATAACCTTCCGTACCAAAGGAGGTTTGAATCTGAGGCACAAAAGAACCAACCCCTTGTGTTACCATTAGACTACCACACTTTTGTTCTTTTGGTTAGAGTTGATTTATAGCTTTACTAAAACCAAACTA